ACGACACACACACACACACACACACAACACAAACAAAAAAAAAAAAAAAAAAAAAAAAAGGAACGGAAAGAAAACAGGACAAAAGACGAGCTGCTTTACTGTTGCCGAACCTGGAATTTGTGCAAGTAGCTGTCCCCCTCTCATATACATGGCGCAATGCACTTCCAAGCCTCGTGTGGCCAGGAATCTCTCAAGTCCCGGAAGTAACAGGTTGCATAGTTTGACAAGACAATCCCAGCCTGGAAACTGTTTCTGTATGGAGCATACAAGAAAGGTTGTACACTAGTGTTGCACTCCAAAGAATGCCGCACGGCCTTTCAATGGTACTCATAATTTCAAAAAACTGCTCAAATCTGACACTTTCGGTCTTGTAGACAATGCCAGACGTTTCTTTCCTGATGGACTAGAAAGCACCAATCTGTAGCGTGGGTCGAGTCAACGAAAGTTGGAATTTTTCGGAGTGCGCATTTTGTCAAGAGTATGCGAGCACAATCCAGTAATGGAGGCGCTCCGTCTATGATCCTTCGGTTCCTCCTAGAAGTCCCAGTTGAACCCCCCTGACTTGGCCGCATTCTTTCTCGTTGGGAGTGTCTTGGATGGCTCCTCCTCGTCGCCACCAAAGAGCCAGTCTCTGTTGGTTCCTCGGGAGCCGCCCATGCCATCGCCACCGATGTGGATGCCACGCTCGTTGTCTGTTGACTTGGGCTTGACCGGCTTGTTTTCCTTTTGCGCAGGCGACTGGTCATATGAAGACCAGTTTGCATCCATCATCTTCACAGCCTTCTGTCGGTCTTGACCCACGTGCTTGCTTGAGGGCTCCTTTGCTGGGGAGTCGTCGGTCATGGAAAATTGAGACTGAAAAGTTTTGCCGCGGCTCTTGAGGTTGGTGATGTTGCCGAGGGCATGCTGATCTGCGTCAACGGCGTCGTCATCACCATCCGCCGGCGCTTCTCCGCTATATACATTATTCTTGTACAAGCCGAGTCCGTTGTTGTGGGTAGCACCGCGTGGGCGGCCTGCACGAGGCTCTCCTTGAGGCACGCCATCGTCGACGAACTCAAAGTGCGGCTCGGCGTCGCGGCGGGGCTTGTTGTTTGCTGGCTTTCGAACACTCTCCTGCACATTCTCGTCGCCTGGGTTCCCCCAGTGGCGCACATCTTGGTGGCTCTTCTGCAACGCCTTGCCTGGCCGGGCCTTGGCCGGAGTGGTGAAATCCTCAAAATTCCACTGGCTGGTGTGTTTTGTCTTGAGAGGCGTTGCCTCACCAGGCTGGGGCGCGTCTTGCGGCTCAGAGCCATCGGCGAAATCGAAGTGGTTGTACTTCTTTGGGTTTGGGCGGTAAAAACGATCTGGTGACTTGCCCTCGTCGGTTGACTCGGGCTCTTCGGGGACTTCGCCCTCGGTGTCGAATAAACGGTTCGCCTGAAAGTTCTTACCAGCGCCAATCTTTGGGGCGATAGCAGAGCCCGGCCGACCGCGTCCAGCACTGGGGGAACCAGGAGCATCGACAGGCTCGTCACCGAGAATCTCGGCAAAGTCGCGTTGCCTAGGCCGCGGTCCGCCTCTAGGAGAGATGACGGAGACAGGATTATGCTGCTCGACCTCCTCGCGGGGCGCAAACAGGGCGAGGGAGGCATGGGGGTCGCGCAGAGCATTGTTGGAGTTGCCGCGACCGCGTGCAGTAGATGAATTCTCGGCGGCGGGTAAATCGCCAGAGGCCTTCAGAGACGAAGCGATGAGCTTGATCTGGTCCTTGGCATCGCGAATGGGCCAATTGCGGCCAGTCTTGCCAATGATATCGAGCTGTTTCAAGAGCGAGCCCTGGTCCCAGCTCTGACGGATTTGCTGGAGTTTGCCCTCGGGATTGAAGGTGACAATGTGTGTCTGCGGTTTCACCCAAAAGACCTGATTAGCCACGAGCGCAATGGGAGAGGTGTAGGTTCAGTATGTGTAGCGAGCTATAGACGTACCACGGGCAAATAGACGGTGCGGTCGGCGAGGAAGTTGTCATCCATGCCGGGTAGGTAGGCCGCGCCGCTAGTGACGAACTCGAGGATGGTGTCGACCTCGATGGCGACAGCATTCTGACCCTCTATGACAGTAAGATACTCCTCTTGCTTCTTCTTTACCTGGTTGCGCAGAGAAGTCAAGTGGTTGATGATGTCGGTAGAGCCGCGGTAGCTTGTGGTGGTGGTGACATAGTGCAGAGCGGCATCGTTGGCCAATAGGGAAGAGTCGGGCGCGGCGAGGAACTGCTTGTAAACAGCTTGCAAAGCCATGACTGCCAGCCAGGAGAAGATATCCCAGGAATCAATTCGGCCAGGCTGTGTCGCACAACGACGGATAGAAGATTGTCCGGTGCTTGGACGGAAGCCTGTTGGAGAAAATGTATAATCCAGACCAGAGGTCTATCACTTTCTCTTCCTGTGCGTAGGTGCAACTGTGTGTATGTGTGTCTCCTTCTCGGTGAGATCACACAATGAGTATGTAGTGTGCTACTGGCGCAAAGCTTGTTTAAGCTTTTAGAGTTGGCTGGCGCGTGAACAGTGGTCTGTCCGAGATGTAGACGGAGTTGCGTGGCACCAGGCTCGAGAGTCTTTGCATCGGTCGATTGGGCGTGTGGTCAGCGGAGCGTCCCAAGAAGTTCACAGAGTGAAGTATCTGGGCAGGTATGACAGCAGGAATGAGGGGGACTGAGAGGGCGGGAGAAAAACAAAAATGCTGCACTGATTGGTTGCAGTTGTGGAAACAAAATTTAAAGAGACAGTCAGAATGGCTTGGGGAAAAGGGCAGAAAAAGGAAGGAAATTGAGAGAGAAGGTGAGAAGTCATTTGGAAGAAGAAAAGTTCGAGAATTAAGAAAACAAACAACAAGGTTCAAGGGTTGCCTCTGTCTGCCGCCGCATCCAGTGATGCAGGTAAGGTAGGTAGGTACCTACATTAAGGTACATACTGCCCAGCCTGCATACCTACCACGCTACCTACATACTCCAGCGACTGGGCCTCCCAGACCCTTCAAGTTGACATGCATCCTTATGGATACTCAGGTACGGAGTCAGTACTGTACCTACATTGGTAGAGAGACGTGCCGGCAGCTAGAGGTAAGTACATAATTACATGACCTAGACATGCAAGTAAATACATCAAACTCAAGTGCTGCTATTATTTCGCAGTCTGTCGCGCAAGTCTACATAGTAGTGTACTGTACGTCCTATGCTAATAAATACTTGATCCATGTCATCCCGATCAATCCTGGTAACCGTTGACCAACAGATTATTAGTCTATCAAGGTGCGTACCTACATACGAGGAAGGAGAAAATGCGCATGCATGGTTGCATATCTTTACTTCGAATGCACATGTATAGCAGACATATTGCTCTCGAGTTTAGGCTGTTGTTGTTGTTGTTGTTGTTTTTTTCTTTTTCCTTCTCCCATCTCTTGTCTTCTTCTGTTCGTGTCTTCTTATAATACAAAGGTGTACATATTTACTTCATGCTATACGTATGTACATCATCAATAATCCAGGACCATTGGACCCATCACACCAAACCCTAGATACATAGTGCATATATAGCACGAGAGGAAGAAAGTCTACCACTAAATAAATGGCCCAGGCAGATGATTTCGGGGACATCTCCAAATCAAGGTGAGACAAGGATGGATGCTGGCCGAAAGCTGAGACCATTCAACGCTGCCTTCCTACCATAGTGCCATTAGGCATACAGAATGTTGACAACAGCTTATCCACTATACATATGTAGTACTGCGAACATACATACCCACTAGTCAATTCCCAACATCCATTACACTAGTTTTGAAATCGTATAAATAGCAGGTGCTCTGACTATTATGACTTTCTTTATCCTCAAGTCAGACGATGATGTGCCAAAAAAAAGAAAGAAAAAAAAAAGAGAGAGGAAAAAGACGACTACGACAACGACGCGCCGTGAGACGCGACTCCCAGACCCAATCCGAAGAAGCTACCCGTATACGTACCTAGATACGCTAGTAAGTGCTGCGGGGGATGCATCAATGCATGAACTGCAAGCAGTATTCCAGCCGCTACCCCACCATTATCTTTTGTACCTACATACATTGCTGAAAGAAATGCGGGCATCGAACAAAAATAAAAACAACCACAACCACTATTACTATTACTATCACCACGTATCCATCCATAGATATACCCCCACTTCATCTGAATCAGAACGCAGACTACCTAAGTACACAATATTCAGAATGTCAGAGCACTCTGTACTACACCTGGGCCCAATAGTCTGAGGAAAGACGGTTGACCTTGAAATTGATAAGGCCACTCAACTTGATCCTGACAGCTTTAGTGGATGTTTGGCCGCCGACAAGAACCCCGCGAGTCCCGTGCGGCCCTGGCCAAGCGTCAGATCGTCGAGGCCTGGCTGTTTCATCAATTACATGGTTCTTGAAAACGGTTTAGCCCGGAGACACCTACACACATTCAGTTCCAAGCTAGCTAGGTCATCATCGCAATATTCTCACTGGATTCATCCTGCTCTGTCTTTATCCCACTAGACAAATATCTACACAGTAGGTGGATAGTAATTTTGGCCCGGCCTGGGCGAGAAGACGCTTCGGCGGCCCTGATGTTTGACGATAGTACATGGTATCCTATTCTGACAATTTCGCCAGTCGGCGAGGTAGAAAGTAGCGTTAGCAGTATATATCGGTACCCCTTGCACATGTAGCTGACACGGAACAGACACGCATTTCTCGCCCGCCTTCTATCATCTTGACCAGATCACCCAATCTCCCAGGCTAGACGGCGCCGCAGGAACTCGAGGGTCGTCATCATTGTATGAAGTACGACCGGTAAGTACCCTAGGATCCTCTTCGTAGACAATTAGTCTTCCGCCCTGCCGTCTTGTCAATTCCTCAACTTGCTCGTGATCCCTATACATCATCGATTGTTCGTGGTATCTCGGTTCAACACTTGCATAGCGCCCCAAAGAAGGCGGCTCCCACCTCGGCGGTCTTTCGATGTAGTAGTCAGTCCCACGTAAGTCACGGGCAAGCACCCTCTCGCATATTCGCCGTGCATAACCACGGTGCTTGGGCTTATATCGATCTCAAGTATGTGTTAGACCGAGGGGCAGATCCGAGTTAAGCATTCGGTCCTTTTGATCTGTTGAGTTATTCTGTTTATCTAGCCCAAGCTCCAAGTTCGCAAAAAGATCGTTGTCGGAATCTTGCATTGAAGTTGTAGACTCATATTGACTTGGACGGGCAGCGGGAGAAGGCCCAGTCGAGACCTTGGAAAGTCCATCGAGTAAGCATAAATGGTGCGGAATTGCTTCTGGATTTATTCCATTCCCTTGAGCTCTTTCCTTGCTGATATTGCTCTTCACAGTCTTCAAGTTGGAGAGACTGGCAACTTCCAGGATGAATCCATGTCCGTAATCCAATCCAACAAAGGCGGGCCCGTATGTTGTGGAGGGCCCAAGTGTTTTTTGCTGAAAATGATTCACCAATTGGGAGAGGGAAAATGTGATGCATTCATTTTCGGTCATCTCGGTGTGATCGAGCCCAAGGCGACATGCTTTGCATATCAAGCCATTAAATTGCGGATTCGGCGTATCTGCTTGTGGTTGGACAGGCCATCAATAGACATCACGAGGGGAGGGCTCTCCATAAACCGTGGCCTGTAAGTATTCACCAAATGGAAGAGGAATACATAGACTCGGATACAGTTAGGAGCCCTGCCACCCCAGCCATGATCAGCCAAGTGTCGCCAGATATCTGAACCATTTCTCAAGTTGTGCTCGCGCAGCGTTGGCGTTGGACTCGGCCCATTGTGTCGAGTAGCTCGCGAGCCTAATGGTCTGTTGAGGAAGATTGGGATTTCCACCATGTACGTCGACTGCTGGTGGCCGTGGGAGGACGTTTTGAAAGCTCTTTCGAACCTCGGGTCCATCCCTCGTGACCAAGGCCGTCGTCTGCAGGCCTGTTGGCAGTGCTCGACGGCAGCGCAGCAGGTTGATTTTGCTCGGCCACATTGGCGCCAATTAATGCCCGTCTTCGTTTGCAATCTTCTCCATTGGCGCCCTTTGTACCATTCATTTGCTTAGAGCTCGGGCTGGGGTTGAGTGTCTGTGGAATGGCTGAAAATTGCGCATCCGTAGTTGGTGTAAACCGCCATCGCTTTCCCATTCCCAGCGTGATATCTTGAAAACAGCAGTTATTATTTGACACGTAAGACTGTTTATTTCCAGGTAATGTTTCGCGTTTCAAGTCTTGGACATGCTTGGAAAGTGCTTCTTGTAATCGAGCTAGGCGTCCGTGAACGAGCTCTTGCTAATACGGTAGCAGAGCAAGCTTGCAAACCATCTGTAACAGAAACAAATGGCAAAGTAGAGAAGACGATACAGACAATGACAGCAGCATGTCTTCGTCCCGGAGTCTGTTTGTGCCTGAAGTGCTACCAGGAAAGGGAGGCCTCAGTGTAGCCACCATCATTGTTTTTGTGTTGAGACAATTCCCACATGACCTGATGGCAGAAGGCCAAAGTAACGTTCCTGCTTCATTACCCTGGCTGGGTTTTGAACCGAGACGAGTCAGTCACTTTTTGATCTTCTCGTGCTTTCTTACTACGAAACTAGCAGTGTGTCCAGTGCAACAGTCGTCACATGTCAAGTTCGGTTTTGTCAACCAGTGCTGCGGGCATGTTGAGGCAATATCGGCCCCCTCGATGCTCGATAGATTTCATCTGTTAGTAAAGGCAAGAGACGACCATTGATGACTGGCAGCTGAGGGTGTGGTTGTAGTGCAAAGGCGGGATCCAGGGAGGATCGGAATATCTTATTGACGAGCAATATTGTGGCAGTTTAGGTTTTGCAGCGCCATATATATATCTTCCCATGTCCTAAGGCGGAATGAAGGCTAGGATATGCTGCCATATTTCTACCTGAAGCAAAAGCTTGTCGGCAGGCAATCGCTGTGACTCGCCAGTCCTAGAAAGCCGTTCCTCACTCCTTTTGGCCTTCTTCGACAACTCAGCGGAAGAACAGTTCTTGAGCTCATCCATGGGGGATTTGCGTTTTCTGATACCGACGTCTCTAATCCCACAAAACCCCCCAGACTTCGAATCGGCATATGCTGATGATACATGATCACTGTTACAAATCATATCGGCAGCAAAAGTATCGTAGCTTTCTGAAGATGCGGGCATGAGCACATCTGTATCGGAGCTCTCGTCAAAAATGGTGGCATCTTTCTATTCTGCAAGGCGTGCCATGCTGTTGGCAGGTGAATCTTTCATTCCCGGGAACTGGATTGGATCCACTCCGATCTCACCTCGAGGCTCTTCATGACTGCTATGGATACGCGGAAGGCCGGCTCATGGGCCCAAAGAAGAAGAAGAAGAAGAAAGAAAGAAACTGGGCAAATTCTACCTCTGGGAAGTGAATCAGCCTCGCGCCACACTTGTCAAAAAACAGGTCTGTTACTCGTCATGCAAGTATGGGCTCGTAATTTGTAGTCTCTCGTTGAGTACGTTGCTGGGCTGAGCACTTGCAAGTAGCGAGATGTCTAGACGTGTTGATGGATGGGGGATGTCACCGCTTTTCCTCCGAGAAGAGTGCTTCCTTTTAGCAAGAGACTTGTGTAAGAGGATTGTACCAAATTTTTATGGCAGTGGCCCTGGGTGATTTAAGAGTCTGCAGAAGGGAAAAGGTTGTGTCTGGTCCAGAAATTCTGTCGGGTGTAAGTCGACAAGTGGAGTGTTGTGGCTGGACTCGCCTAGCCACCATGATCATACCTTAATGTAGTCCTTCGATGAAAAGACCTCCAGGAAAGAATGCCCCAGGGCGTATACAAAGATCACAGTCTTTCAAGAATAATGGCGGCTGTACAATCCGTTCGATGAATGGAGCTGTCGCGTGTCAAAAAGAGCACGAGGTTATCAGGATTGGATTTTGTCGCGCCCGTTGCTTCGCTCCACGCGTGGAAGGTACACAGGTAGTCAGTCCATCAGACTGATCTTGGAACATCAAGCGGAGTACGGAGATTGCCACGGACGAACCTATAGGTGCTCCCCAGCTGCGTTCAGCTGCATCAGCTGGGCTTTAGAGAGTTCAGACACCCAGATGCCAATTTATGCAGGTAGGTGCACAATAAGGAAACACAACCTGTAGCATGCGTGGCGGTGTATTTGAATATGGTTGTCTTGTATCTCACAGTCACGACTCGTGCTGTATTTGTGTCGATTTTAATGAAATGTGCAGGGCGGTCTGGCAGGTTCTAGTCTTCCCGTCAAAGCTGTCAACTGATGCTCCCAATCTGAACCTGCCACCCCTGTAAAAAGAGCAGGTACCTACATGTTTGAATAAGGTGCCTAACCTTACATAACGCATAGGTAGCCTCCTTGTAGAGGTACATGCATTTCTCATTTCACCAAGCCTTGAGGTCAGTCAGTCAGTTGCCATGGTTGTTGCCCCTCCCCCGCCAAAGGGTTCTTCTCATCAGTGTCAGACCCTTCAAAGAGCCCAGTCAAATTTCAGGCTGCTACTATTGTCGCAAAATACACTGCATGATTGATTAGGTAGGTACACTACATACATACTTCAACACACCACTACCTCTTAAAAGGCCCCGACTCTTCTAGAGCCACGCAAAAACGCGCCTCTGATTTTTTTTTTTTTCGCTTGTTTTCTTTTTCCCTTCTTTCTTGCATTATCCTGCGTCTCGCCGCCCCGCAGCTGCTTCATCGTGCGTCTCGTGCATCTCAATCATCACCTTCCTCTCAGCTGACCAAGTCACCAAGACTTCTTCTTTCTGTGCATTACTCCGAAAGCATGGCTCCCCAAAAGCTTTTCACCCTCGAGGGCAAAGGCCTGAAGCTCGACACCGCTCAGGATCTGGAGGCGCATATTGCTGACCTTCGCGCCATGGACGATGTCGAGGAGGTCAGGTTGCTTGGAAACACGCTGGGCGTCGGTGCTTGCCAGCTTCTTGGCGAGGTCTTGTCAACCAAGAAGTCGCTCAAGGTAAGTTATCGCCATTCATGCAACTTGTCATTCTCCTTCCCTGCTTCTGATTCTAACATTTCGGGCGTTCATATAGGTTGCAAACCTCGCCGACATCTTCACTGGCAGATTACTGAGCGAGATCCCTGATGCCTTGTCATCCCTGCTCACGTCCATCCTCAATCTGCCCAATCTTCGAACCATAAACCTCAACGACAACGCCTTCGGCTTGAACACCCAGGCTCCCTTGGTCGCATTTCTCGCCAGCCACGTGCCTTTGCAGCACCTTTACCTCAACAACAACGGTCTGGGGCCTCACGCCGGTATCTTGATCGCCGACGCACTGTCTGAGCTGCACGCAAAGAAGGAGCAGGCTCGCAAGGCCGGCCAAGATGTGCCCGACCTCGAGACAGTCATCTGCGGCCGCAATCGCCTGGAAAACGGTAGCATGACCGCTTGGGCCAAGACCTTCAGCCTACACAGCAATGTCAAGGAGATCAAGATGGTCCAGAACGGCATTCGACAAGAGGGAATTATCCATCTGCTTAGCCAGGGCTTGAACCACGCCCGCAGCCTCAGAGTCCTTGATCTTCAAGATAACACTTTTACTCGTACCGGTGCCAAGGCTCTGGCCAAGGTTGTGTCTCTTTGGTCTGAGATCCAAGAACTCGGCGTGGGTGATTCCCTTCTGGGCACCAAGGGTGGTATTGCGCTTGCTGCTGCCCTTGCCAAGGGAAAGAACCCGAAGCTTGAAATCTTGCGCCTGCAGTATAACGAGATTGCCGCACTGGGAGTAAAGGGCTTTGCGGAAGCCGCAAAAGATGGTCTGCCTGGTTTGAAGAAGATTGAGCTCAACGGAAACAAATTTGAAGAAGAAGACGAGTCTATCCTGGCTCTGCGAGCCTTGCTAGAGGATCGCAAAGAGAAATTCGGCGGAGAGGTTGTGGATGAGGACGCTTGGGGACTGGACGAATTGGATGAGCTTGAGGAAGTTGATTCAGACGAGGAGGAGGAAGAAGAAGAGGAGGAGGAGGAGGAGGAGGAGGAGGACATTGAACCCAAGGAGAGAGCCGAGAAGCTTATCAAGGAGGCGGAAGAGGCTCAAGAGGAGCCTACTGTTCAGCTCAAAGACCCCGAAGTGGATGCGTTGGCCAAGTCTCTGGAGAAAACGTCGATCTGAAGTACTCCTTCCTCAGCGATTTCCCCCCGAAAATAGCAGTCATCAATAACGAAGATCAGCCCCAGCAGAGGGGTTAGGCGGCACCACAACGATGATACCCGAGCCGCCATTCTAGATATATTTCCAATAGAAGAAGCAAGAATACAGCATTGAAATCTCAGGCCTATGTCGCAGTTGGATGGTTCCCCCACTCTTCCGCCTTTGACCTAAAAAATTGTGTCTCGGTAGAGAAGTGTCTACCACTGTTCCCTTTACATTGCCATCGCAATCTCCAAGCAACATGCGCTCGCCAGTTGATGGACTTTGCTTATAGGCATAGTCATGATGGCATACATAAACCCATCGTCTTATCAAGCGTGAAAACCTAATGCAGTGTGGAATTGAGATTCATGTATCCCAAACAGGTCATACTTTTTTTTTTAACATATTGAAGTCGTGATGAGTAGCATGTGCCCATTTTTATGTACAAATGTGTTACAATGCCAGCCCGTTCGTCGCTCCAGGGCGAGTCGTGACCCTATCTCCAGGACCGAACAGAGGCTCGGCGTATACTAACACGACCACTTGTCCGTCCCGCTACTTACTCGTACAAGATGCAAGGTTCCCAACAGGAACACGAGTCTGGTTTCGTGTTCAGTGCCCAGGCGACGCCGATAGGCGCACGCCAGGCTTTCTAGTACAAGATTGTGTCTATCATAACACCTCGCCGATGATCTTAGCTGCTTCGCGATAGGTTTGCAGCAACTTCTCGCACTTTTCGCGCTCCTTCTTAACGCCATCGTCTTCATAGAGCAGCTCTTCGAAGAGGGCTTCCTTGTACAACTCACTAACGAGCCTGTTCTGCACCACATCTTTGCTGTGGTTGACAAGGAGGTGCATAACAGCCTTGGGTACCTGGTCTGCAATAGTCTCGCGGACAATGTTGAAGTAAGAGGAGATAAGAGCGCGAATGAGCTCCGTCTCCATGGCCTCGCGCTCTGTCAGCGCTGGCTCAACGTCCTGTCCCTCGGATGATATGTTAGCTCGTCCACACGGCTTATTGTCGATTTCAGAGTAGCAACTTACAGCTGTTCCAAAACCAAACTCAGTAGTCCTCTGGACCTCCTCGTCACGAACCAAGGAGGATGACAAAGCCGGGCGATGGGTAGCCTTTTCTTCCACTCTCCTTATACTCTGGCTGAAAGTAGGCTCTTGGGATTGGCTTACATGACGTGGCAAGGCGCCAGGCGTACCAGCACCACCAGGTTGCTGCGGGGCGCCATCTTTGCCGAAAAAATAGGTTAGGAAGCTGTCCCGTGCACCACCCGCGAGCCTGGCCGGAGATGCTGATCGACCATTCACTGCAGCCGCCAGTGCCCCCGCACCATTTTCCCGTATTGCGGGCGACATACTGCGTCCGGCCTTGCCGACCAACTTGCGAGAGTTGATAGTGTCTCCCTTTTCGGTGGCAGCGTCCTCGTCGTCCTCCGGGGTCTCTGTGCCGTTGGCACCGAGCTCCTTCAGACGGCGCTTTTCCCGTCGGGCTCTCTCCTCTTCAATGAGCTTCTTCCTCTCGCGTTCTTGCTTGTTGGTGACAACATGGCTCATTGCTGCTGCGGCGCCGAGGAAGTTGGGGTGATTGGTGTTGATGTAAGCCCGCTGGATAGAGATTAGGGACTCAACGTAGGACGATGCTGGCCCTAGGCGCTCCCGCAACAGATCCGAGACGACCTCTATCAGCTTGGCTTGCAACCTAGGGAACCGCGAAAGTTCGTTTGAGCCACACGTGTGGCAAATTTTGATCAGTTCTTCATAGACAAGCTCGACGCATCGCTGACTGGGCCCCTCGAGCATCTTGATTTGCGGCTTCACAAGCAGATCGAAAGCCATCTCAGGGACAAAAAGACTCGGGCGTGGACCAGTTGAGTTCCGGATAGCGGTTCTGATATCAAGCGCCGATAGATTCGAGGTTGGATCGATGGACTCGAGAGAGCTGCCAAAGACTGAGTTGAAAATATAGTAGATACGGGCACCTCCGGATAGTTGCTTGGTAGAGATTTCGCTCGATGTACCATCGATGGAGGAAATGAACGAAGATGCGAATTTAGTCATTTGCTGCAGAATCATGGAGCCACGGTGTTCTTTGCCGCTGAATTGGTTGTCCCCGTAACTTGCTAGTTCTTGCTGCGTCTGGCCCATTAGGGTGTTGAGACGAGCCTTAATATCGGGAAGTCGTTCGCGGATATGGACCATGAGGGTTTGATTCAGCGTCTTTGCCAAGAACTGGGTGCCACATCGGTTGGCGATGTTGCGATAGGCAGGGTGATGTTTGAAGAATTCGTTTTCTGCCTTGAGAGCTTCGTCCATGGGTTTGTTCCCCTGGATATCTTGCTGTGATCTGTTTACGACGCCGATGAAGCCCAGCTTGAGAGGATAGACACGGCCCGAGAGGATGTCCAGGGCATTAGTTCCATGGTCCATCAGATCGACCTTGGTGAGAACACCGACGGTTCTGCGACCCAAAGGATCGACATGCCTTGCAAGCTTTAGAGCTTCCGAGTTGACAAGGTCAACATTGGCTGGGGACACGGCGAGAATGATGCTGTTGGGTTTGGCAATGAATTCGGAGATGAGAGTGCGTGTCTGCTTTTCAATGTCTGCAGGCTGGTCGCCGATAGGAACTTTTGTCAGACCTGGTAGATCCACCAAGGTCAGGTTCAAGACATGGGGAGAGAAGATTTTGAGGTTGATTGGTTGCCTGACAATGCCCTTGTTACTACCGGCGACTCGATTCGTCTCGTTCTCGATCTCGCGCTTGACATCGCCAAAGTCGGTGAAGCGTCGGCTTGGAATGTGGTGAAACTCTGCCCATTCGGAGCGTCTGGCTTGGGTGGGGTTCCTGTAGGCCTCGTTCACCTCTGGCGCGGTCTCGTCATCCTCAACGTTGATGAGCTGGAGGATCAAAGGACGGCGGGTCACAATGCCACTACCGCGCGGCAGAAAATCGCGCCCAACGATGTTCTCTAGAACAGATGACTTTCCGGCCGATTGCGAGCCGACGACAACCTAGAGTGTGAATGGTGAGTGCTAATTCATTGCGACGAAGGTGAAGGGCTTGCTAGGTAGGGGCCGTGACGGTTCCCCCTTCCCTTCTTTGCCCTCGTCCTTGCCTAGTATGGGAGATGTAACGTACAATCTGAGGAAGATCCAGGCTATCAGTGCCAATGGTGTTGAAAACCAAGTCCTGCAGTTGGTTCACAATGCGAAGCAAATCGTCCCCAAGAGCTGCCATGGTGGGCGTATTGACACAGACCGAGGTCGTGTCTCTGAGTTGTGTTGATAGGCTCGAGAGGGGTTTCTTTCCTTTCTTTTTTTTTTTTTTTTTTTAGTCCTTTGGTTTTGGGTGAAGACAAGAGTCGAGGCTCAGATTTTGCGAGAAGCGAACTGCCTTTGCGGGAGGTGACGCACGTTGCAGTCAAACCTGTGCAATAAGTAAGGCAGGTAGGTCGAGTAGTAGCTGCAGATTGGTTGCAGAACAACTCAAAGCTTCGCGCGGCGCCTCGTTGGCGCTGGGCTGGCGCTGGACGGCCGGGCTGGACTGGCTGTTTTTTTTTTCTCCCTCCTTTGCCGGCTCTTCTAATAAACTGGGCCACCCCCCCGGACACGCCAGACTCCAGGAACCGGTTTTTCGGTATTCGTTAACACAACAAGGCCCAGGCTTGCCTATTGACTTTGCGTGGCCAGGCGATGTCGAGAACGCGGGGTTCACGAGACTGAAAACGAGAGAAGAATCAATATAGGAGCGTGAATTGTTACGTTAAAAGAAAAGAAAGGGAAGGGGAAGGAGGGAAAAAAAAAAACAGAAACGTGATCTGGCGCACGTTATTTGCTTTCCTGGTACGCTGCTTGGCTGCACTCGACAAAATAAAATGCCCATTTTCATGCGCCGAACTCCACCCAAAGACGCTGGGTGTAAGAGCCTCAGAGCGATGCACTAATTTCACATCCATCATGCATGACATTGTATTTGTTATCCTCGTACACTGCTACCTGCCTTGCATCAAACGTATATAAATTATACAATATTCATCTATTCAGTGCCATCTGTGTACATTGCACTAGAGGGAGCGCCTTTCCTTCCATGGATTTGCCATCTCTTTACCTCACCTTTTCACGCTTGAACCATTGTGCCATGGAAATGCGCACCACGCTTGATCCGAAACGGTAAGCTTCTAGGGTCGCAGGGGAATCGGAATATATGCTCTCAATCGCTGCCATGAATCAAATGTATCCAATCTACAGGACGCGGAATATACGTACATGAGTACTTTTACAAAAGGGTGCGTATGTTGTGTGTATCGAGTCGCATGAACAAAGTCGCGAGTTACATGTGCGCGCGTCATGTGCATGTAGCTTCAGCATGTACTCTGCAAGTGTAGTAGGTACAGGGTGCGTACTGGGTTCTCAGTCATGTGTATGTATTTTCTAGAAACAACGCACATGCCTGTTTGACCACATTTGCAATGACTCTGGGCGCCAGTCATTCAAAGCTCTCGCTTATGCAATCAGCTGTGCTCTAATTGGTGGCTTGCCTACCTTGTCGACTATAGTATCTGGATGCAATTCCTGTACCATTCTCTACAATTGTGACGAGAAAGGCTGTCTTGCCTCGCTCGAAATTCTATCTACCTACTACTACTACCACCACCACCACCACCGTTCATATCAAGAGACTTTGACAAATTGCAGCGCGTCTCCGAGTTGCGAGAGATGTGTCGCCAGCACAACGACAGGAACCCCCGCTCTGCTGACCGCCTCTCCTGCGACGAGTACAACTCATACCTGCAGCAGTAGCTCTTGCTCTCGAGGTGTCAGGATTCAGGTCAGTCTGTAGATTGTCGAGTTTGACAGACTCAACACTCAACGATGCCCCTATTTCTGAGTGGATTTTTGCGATCCAGATATGCTATCCATGAGGTATTTTTTTCTTCTCCCCCAACTCGGCGTGACAACAAGCCATACAAGTGTAGCTGCTAGATATGTTTGCTTGATTTTCCTTATCTATTATCGCGAATATGTGACAATATCTGCCGCAACCTCATGAGGGCCTTGGTCTCAGATGGACCTGAGTCACCTTCGTGCTTTTGGATTTTCCGCGCCTCCTCTCTGGCCTCCTGCACCAACGACCCGAGATCTCCCCAGACCTCGTCGGTGTATCGAGACAGGACATCGCCCCACTGGTCTGCCCAGATTTCGCTTGCTTCCAACGTGTCCGATGTGCCTAGGTGCCCTGACAGCTCATTGTATCCCCAACCCGATGAGCCATTGGATATATACTCGGGGACAAAATTGAGTATATTGGACCAATCTGACGCTTGCTTGCCGGCCTCATCCGCGTTGCTGCCTTCTCCAAAGAGCGCCTGCTTCAGGCGCAATTCCTGTGGCTTCGAGAGGGGAATTACTGGATCCATGAGCATTACTTCATCATAACCGGCATCTAGCAGCTTCACAACCTCGAGGCCATCGCTATCTGCGAGCCGATGGCTGGCGTCCGACTGTGACTGGAAAACCGTCCCCTCACGATTTAGGGAATCGCACACGAGTCTGTTAGGCACATTCTCTGGCACATTTTCTGATACGGCAGACGAATCCACGCCGTCAAGAAATTGTGCAAATGCGGCCTCTTCACGCTGAATGTGGCCCTGAACTTGCGCTGATCGTATGCTGTCCCCAGAACTTGCACTCGTTTGTCGCTTCGAGTTCGATGTTTCCCCCAAAGCTGTACCAAGCCCTGTGTTGGAAGCAGGCCCTGCTTTGATCGTAGGACTCCCTAGAGCACCAATGTCTGGCGTAGTCAAGAGGCTGCTCCCCAATGCCAGAGTTGAAGTTGTGAACCGTGACAAGATTGATGCGTCTGTAGGTTGCACCTTCTCGACAGATCCGCCAACATTGGCTTGATCATTTTGTGCACTAGAATTGCAGGTAGGTGCCTCTTTTGCCTTTCCTTTTTGTTCATGGCCGTCGTGAACCTGGTCAGCCGGTTGGGACTTGTCTGGCTCGCTACCTTTCATATTGTCTCAATTTATGCTCACAGCAGATTGTCTATTTCGAAGATTGCCTGCAACAACCAGCAGTGGTCTTCAAGTTGGAAATCATGTACGGAGTGATGTTTATACGCAAAGTAAATAAAGATGACAGAATAGGGATGCGACAAACTTTGAAGAAGATCGGGCGTGGTCAAAAAGTGTTGCACCGTCCGCCAAAGCGGCGTCGGTACCTACATAGTACATACCTACCTAATTGCCACGGCCCGGGTAACCTCGGAAGCTCACATCCTGTCTGCCTCATGCTGCTCGTGATTGTGGTCCTCAATGAGGAAAGCATTTGATGCTGCAAACTTTAGGGCATACTTTAGTTGAAATTATATATAACAGAGGGAGATAGTAGATATAATTGAAACGCAAAAGCACATTTCGATGCCCACTGTTCAAGACGTTTTGTTTCGTTTCTTGATGGCGAAGGCTCGAGACCAAGATACCTAGGTAGAAGTATTGTAACATGTGATTCAATAGAGGAATGTGATGGATGATCAAGGTACCGTGGGGTTATTTTAGAACCCCGGTTATCTGGCCAAATCAGTGCAAGCATTGGGATAAACCACCTGTCTGTGACTGTGCAATATTCAGCTATGTACGATATACTTCCTACAAAGTACTATGAATTCAGTATTGTGTAAGCATCCCCCCGGGAAGCTTTAGCGATGATGACAACATGTCCAATAATTGTTGTTCACTGCTGGAACATTTTCTTCCGGGCTTTGAACAACAAGACAAAGTGCGTGAGACAGTGCAAGGTGCATGTGGTGTATGTCTCTAATTTTCTTGACCTATATACAATTCCAATTGGCAGCCATGGGCTCTTCGTACAACATTATATGGGGGGACCATTCCGCATCTGACGAGTCAAGCGAGTTGAAACAAGAGCATTGCTTATTAAAGGAGAGTCAAAAGTGACCGAGTCTGCTGTCGGCACACAAAGCGATTGAGGGAGGTTTAAGAGGATAACTCGATTACAACCGCGTTTAAAGGACAAACAAAGCTCGAAGAACTTCAAGCACAATCTGGAACCTCTAGTGAAATACAAAGGATATATCCAGCACGAAGGGTTTAAGTATACCTGGAGTTCGAGAACCACCATCAACCTTTGCATGCAAAGGAATATTGGAAACTGGACACAAATATTTCGACGAAGCACAAGACGTAGGTGAGTAGTTCACCTGGGTGGCTTCCAAGGTTTGAGAATCATGGTGACTGAAACCCCACCTTTTAATAGGTGGTTATGTCATTTCCTCTTTCCCAAAATGTGAAGCGGAATTAGCCCCCCCCAAGGCGAGGTAGTGTAATTCGAATCGTCGCCCTCCAGAGCTTCCCACGGAAGAGCAAAGCCCCTCTATCGGACCGGCTCGCTCTAATAACCAACACGGTGTGATGGGCCATGGCAGCGTGCTTGAAAAAGAAAGAAAAAAGAGTTTCGTTTTAGGACTGCACTGACGACAGTCTCGTCAATTCGAATGTAGGTAGCGTAGATCTTGGCTCTACCCAACAGACAGATAGATGTCTTCGGGCAGACATGGAGAAGGACAAAGGCCTGGTCTGATCTGGAAAGCACTAGGTCGACCTTCCTCCAGTCGGCTTGTATATACTTCGTACTTACCGACGTACATCCATATACCTAGGTATTTACGAAATATCGCTGTGCATGGATATGGCATCGGCAGACAGCTTGTGTGATTTGTTCCAGGGAGTAGTGGTTTTTTGAGCTCCATGGTGAATGCTACGTTCTGGTTTGTACAATTACTGTGATACATGATATTTGGCGGCGAGATCCTTCAGCGGGTGGACGAAAGAAAGTCGGAATCACTCCGTATTGCGTAGCTATACTAAAGTAGAGGTGCTGTGTAGTACTGTAATATATACCTAGTAATATAACCGTCCCGTGTTCAATGCGCTGTACTCTCTACCGCAGGTATGTAGCGTATCTTGTTCTCCCCCTAGCAGCGCGTCAAACGCATGAAGGTCAAGTTGTGTGTATCGAGGCCTACCCAGGTAATTGATCAGTACAGGTGAATGTCGATATCATCCACCCAGCTATTATGTACAATGCACATGCTGCTAATTGGCTTACACTACATAAATTTGAAGAATTTGCCTACACCTCCAAAACCCCGCGGGCTCCAGTATTTATTCTAGCACAATGGATACCTACCTACATTTGATGTATGTATGTACGGGTTCTGGGCGCGGAAGGCCCAGCAGTTATTGCTGTGTGGTGACTGGTCTACTTCGTACAATAGTACATTAGGTAGAGAGCTAGCTATCGCTCTCTAGTACCTACTCAATCCGGACAGCAAGAAATCTGCACGTCTTTGTTTGTGATTCCGCTATCTTGCACAAGAAAATCGTGTCTTCACGCCACAATACACATTGGAAACATAGCAAATGTTGGAAAACGACGACTTACCTAACCAGACTCTACTCAAGCGCTGAAGGTTTTTACTGACGCCCATTTGGCCAAAGCAAGCAAGCCAGCGAGTGTGTAAGCCATCTTAGTCAACCGTTTTGAGCTGCACTTTCGTATTGGGCAGCCATTTTCCCCCTCTTATCCCCCCAAAAGAGGAGGAGCTTCAGCTTGTCCCTCTCTTCTACTCTCTCCACCACAAAAGGGAGTACTGCGTCTTTTGCCTCTCACTGACTCTGCTAAACCAAACCTACCTTAAAACCCCCTGTACACAGCCAGAAGGTGTGTGTGGGAGAGAAAGCGAAAAGAAAGAGAAAGAAAGACTAATCCATTGGCAAGCAGGCAGACCAAGTCTGCAGCTCAGGTAACCATAATAATTCACTTATTTCAAGTGCCCTACTCTACTCAAACCTGCCTATTCCACCCTCTCGTCCACCTAATCTACATCCATCAATTACCCTGACTTTGCCTCACCTGCACTAGGTACGTTGACCTACCAGGTACCTACCGCCCACCTAGTGCTGTCCACCTACCTACCTACCTACCTAACCTACCTACGTTGCCTACCTACCTACCTGGACTTGAACTGACACGGCACCCAACGCAGCCGCACTTGCTGAGCACCACCCACTGTACCCGCCAAACCAAACAGAGTACCTAGATCCACCTCACCACCAACTTCACCACATACGACATCGGATCCTCGCACCACGCCCCGACCAACAACATCCTCCAGCTTTCTGCATCCCACCACCCGCGCCGCCGTATCGTCCATCTTGCCGCCATATTGCTAACCAACTCCTCGATCAGCCCGCCGTCGTGCCTCACTCCCGCTCGCATCTTTTGGTTTTGACTCTTGACCGACATCAGCTCGCCCCGCGTGACGACCCGACAAGAAAGCTTCCACTTCTTGCTCAGCTTACCCACCTTCCACCACCAAGACCCGATCGCTCGCATCCCAAGACCAGCAACCAATCTACCCCAGCCATAGCCACGACCATGGTGGATGTAGACTCGAACTCTCCCACGTGGAAGTTCACCCAGTAAGTCAGCTTCCGCTACCTCCGTCTCGCCGCTTACCCGCTATGATACTGATCCTCTCTCCTCCCCAGGTGTTTTGGTGACAAGGGCGATGTGGAGGACATCACAGAAGGTATGCCGCATCTGACGGCGCATTGGTTGGGCCAAGGTCGTGACATGCCATGTGCATTTCACACCTCGGCTTCCGCTTGGCCGTGTTCTTCTCACACAGACTCAAAACCCTTCATCTGCCAGTATAGCCAGCTAACCCAGAGCCTCCTCAGCGGACATTATCTCGACTGTGGAATTTGACCACACGGGTAATTACCTCGCCACCGGAGACAAGGGCGGTCGTGTCGTGCTATTTGAGAGAAATGAGACGGTTAGTTGCACAAATATCAACATCGGCAGGGCTTGTGGGAAATGGCTGACAGATGGCAGAAAAAAACTTGCGAATACAAGTTCCACACCGAGTTCCAATCGCACGAGCCAGAGTTCGACTATCTAAAGTCACTGGAAATCGAGGAGAAGATCAACAAGATCAAATGGTGCCGTCGGCAGAATGCTTCACATTATCTGCTGTCCACAAATGACAAGACGATCAAGCTGTGGAAGGTATTCGAAAAGTCGCTCAAGGTTGTGGCGGAGAACAATTTGTCTCATGATCTGACGCCTGGAAACGCGATGGGAGTCGGGGGAGGTGCACCAAGGGTCAGCCCCAATGCATCCCATTTCAAGTCTCCCATTGACTTGAAGCTCCCTCGTCTGACACACCACGATACCGTCGTGGCAGCCGTTCCTCGGCGCACGTATGCCAATGCCCACGCCTACCATATCAACAGCATCTCGGTGAACAGCGACGGCGAGACCTTCATCAGCAGTGATGATCTGAGGATCAACCTGTGGAACTTGAACATCCAGGATCAGAGCTTCAACATTGTGGACATCAAACCGGCAAATATGGAGGAGCTGACCGAGGTCATCACGGCAGCAGAGTTTCACCCAATGAGTTGCAACTGGTTCATGTACGCCAGCTCCAAAGGCACAATCAAGCTCGCAGACATGCGCGAAAGCGCCCTTTGCGATCAACACGCCAAAAGTATGTTTCCCTTTGCAACAATGGACGGCGGTGAACTAATCGATTTCGTACTTGACAGTGTTCGAGCAAGAGGAGGATCCTTCGTCAAGGTCCTTCTTCTCCGAGATCATATCGTCGATTTCCGACGTCCGCTTTTCTCACGATGGCCGGTATATCCTGTCACGCGACTATCTGACGGTCAAGATCTGGGACGTCAATATGGAGCGCCAGCCAGTCAAAACCATTCCCATCCACGAGCATCTTAGGCCTAGGCTTTGTGACACATATGAGAACGATAGTATCTTCGACAAATTTGAAGTCGTCTTCTCTGGAGATGCCAAGAACGTGATGACGGGTAGTTACAACAACAACTTCATGATCTACCCGTCGGACCCCGAAAAGGAGACGGAAGTCGTGCTGCAAGCCGACAAGTCCGCATTCAAGGCAAAGAAGGTAGGCGTGGCAACACCGATCAACTCGTCAGGCAATCCTGCAACAAACGGCGGCAAGAAGGGCGGATCCCGTGCTGGCAGCCCCGCCGGAGCTGGTCAAGGGCAGCGGATGCGTAAGGAGACGGACGCCGACCAGATCGATTTTAACAAGAAGATACTGCACATGAGCTGGCACCCTTACGAGGACAGCATCGCCATTGCTGCTACAAACAACGTGAGTAACGATTATTTCTGCTGTAGACTGTAATTGGCTCTTTGCTAACAGATGGTAGCTCTTTGTCTTTTCGGCACTGTAGAGGTCAGCAGGACTATCAACATATTGCCGCTTTCTCCGATGACTTCTGAAGTGGAAGCCTGCCAGGGGACTGGACTACTGGGGAAAGGGGAAAGTGACTCTGGGTCTGAGGCCTACGATCAGGAGTCCTGCTGTGGTGTCAATGGGGGCCTCCTGAAGCGTGCTTGGAAGAACTGAGATTGGCGTGGGAAACAATCAGCTGTCTCTAGACTATAACGACTGCATATGTCACAGCCATGGCTGACGGCAACGTGGGCGTCATCGTGGTTATGCGGTACTGAACGCGCACAGAAGACTAGAGACATTCTTTGAAGCTACCGGATGGCAGCAGAGGCTTCACGGGAGAGTCGTGGGTCGATCATTCGGTCACGTCTGCGGTCAAAGTCGTGTCTCTGGTACTTGCGCGGCTGGCAAAGGGAGGACGCAAGCGGCAGTCGCATCACGAATGGCATAGATATTACATACAGACTCAAGGCGCCTCAGAGATGACCATAATTAAGGAAAGCAAATTCGTAAAATTTTATACATTAAAAAAAAACGGCACCATTTATTTGCTCACAGTGCCACCACGGGCTATTAACAAAGTTGCGACGTCGTTATTATTAGAAACCGATAACCTTTCTTTCCCAGAAATCCACGTATCATTCCAGGTCGACCTGTTTAGATTGATGAGTCGCCGGATTGGGTATGTACCTACGTAGTCGGGCAACTTTGGAGCCTCTTGTTTCCACTCGAGGGTTGACTCTAGATATCAATCCGTCTTTCTATGGTGCATACATAATTTGTATGAGGGAGCCAATATCTACAGGCATTTGAGCATGTAAATACATATTACCAGTCCTTGAGTTTACGACCCGAACCTTCATCATCATAAACTAGGAGCTGAAAACCAGAACACAGAGCCGGTTCACATTCGTATGGCGGGATCCTGTAAGTAATATAGGGAACATATAAAGTAGGTATCGTGCACACTACATACATGCCTGCTGCGATCACTGTACGTACAGTATTATACATATCAGTCNCCAAAAGGGGGGGGGGGGGGGGGGGTNTCA